GATGTTGCAGCACAAAGTACCTACAGTCAGCAGGTCACTCTCACATGCTTCAGATGTTGCAGCACAGAGTACTATGAGATCAGATGCATCTGCTTTTTGCCCGACATTCAGTACATCATCACTAGGACATCATTATTCACCTAGGCGGGTCCCTTCTCGTAGGCAGGACCCCTCTCCAGTGAGCGAGCCAGACTACGTAGACTACTACGACTCGAAAATATTTCAGACCAAACGTATGACCTGGTCAATGTCCATGTACTACCACCCAAAGGTTTACCCTTGAGTACTTTTCCCTAGTTTTCGTTCATTTTTCATTTACTATTTTTTGCATTTCATTTTGAGACATTTTTAGCATTTTTCACTTACTGGGGGTAGGTACATGACCCTCTCATTTCATGTACTTGATTTTATTATAAAATAAAATAGTCACACTACTGGTTTTTGCTTTAAAAAAACCCTAAACCAAGGAAATGGTAAGGAGAAAGAGGTCGTTATCGAGCCACGTTAGAGATGGACACCAGTTCGCAAAGATCAGAGGAGACAGGATGCTGCTAGCACTTCTGAAGTCCAAATTCAGTCGTCTCAGTCCACAACAGCTCCATCAGCTATACCTCCTACTATTGCTAGCACACATATTCAGACTCAGTCAGTTGTTCCTTTAGTAGCTCCTCTCATTGTTACTGCTCTACCAGTTATCAGTGTTGTAGCTCTCCAGATTGATTCAGTACTGCCCACTACTTACACTTTAGCTTATACTACTTTGGCTCCACCTCAGGCGGTCAAACCTTTTTATACTTCATAATTTAATCCCCTTGTGAATTATATGATTCAAGCTCATTCAAAGGCACCTTCCATTTCTATAGCAGTTTTAGCTACCTTACCACCTCATCAGACCAAGATAGTACATGATTCAGTTTCTGCTATATCTAATCTGCCATTAGCTTAAGTTTTTTGGTCCACATATTACTACATTCTATGATCTGATGTTGGATGAGATCTTACAGGCTTCAGATATTTGATTATTCATAGGACACAGTCACCAGAGCTACTCAAATTCTAGGTCCGACACCATGCAGGGTTTAGGAACTTAATTCTACTATTTCTCATCCCATTTGTCATCAGAATGTGGAGGCATCTATTCCTTCTTTGCAGTCAGTACAATCAAACACAGAAGGCTCATTTCAGATTGAGGTCCACCAGTAGGGCCCCTTTCGTAGATTTTTTTCGATGACTTGGTTAGTTTGGATGAGAGGACAAAGGATGATAGATTTATCCCAGTTAGTCGGAAGAGACATCCACGAGTAACGACACCCCGTTCCTAGGCAGAAGGGTCACAAGAGTCATTCGTAGAGTACCTCCTTACATTCCACTTCCTTATAAATGCCATCATATGAAATGTGAGAGGTATAGCTAGTGTAGATACTCACAGGTGCCTGAGGAGACTTATTCAGATTCATCAGGTATATCTTTTGGTCATCTTGGAGCCCTTCGTTATTGAGGGCAGTTTTGATTTTATTCATTACTATCTGGACTTCGATATTGGAGTTCAGAATGAGTCGAATAAGATATGTGTTTTATGGAATGTGTGGACTATTATTTCTATACTTGATTGGACTATTGTTTCTATACTTGATAACCATTCCCAATTCCTTCATGTTATAGTTCAGGATCCCAGTCTGACACATTCCATCTTTTTTACTCATGTTGTATGGAATGTGGGGACTTCACATTTTCCCCTCCATGGAGACTTTAACATTATTGCATATGATGGTGAGTGCACTTGTTACAACACTTATGATCGGGGTTCTGCTACTTTCTCTGATACGATGTTAGATTGTGGGTTGGAGGATGCTAGTTTATGTGGGAGTAAATATACTTGGACCAATGGTCGGGTCATGAAGAGATTGGATAGAGTTTTGATTAACTCTGCAGTTGTAGCTTTTTGTCAATAGCTTACTATGAGGCATCTGAATTGGACTTCATCTGATCATTCTCCTTTGCTACTATAGTGGACATCTGATGATGACTTGGGGCACAGGCCCTTTCGATTCCTCAATGTATGGACTAAGCACCATGCTTAGATGATAATGCTTTCATATCCCAGCCATAACGTAACATGATGTTGCATTCATATTTCGAATTCATACTACGACCTGCACATGATGTAGCTTTCGTGTGCCTATATCCTTACCACAACGTCGTGCATAAGATGTTGCCTTCGTATGACAAGGAATTGATGTATTGATGCCTTCATGTTCCAATAATGCTTACTTTATGTACCCCGATGTGCCTGTAACGCTGCATTTGTGTGCCACGATGTGCTTGCATTGTTATCATCTTTTACCACAGTGTACATGACTTGGTACCATGGCAAGCATGAGTTACTAGCTTCGTGTGCTTGTTTGCTACCTTCATGTGCCATGATATTCCTACATTGATGCCTTCGTGTGCCACAATATACTTGACTTGATATCACATCATGCCTGAATTGTTGTCTAAGTGTGTCTACATTGCTTCCTTCATATGCGACGACATGTCCATGGTGTTGTCTTTATATGTTATGATGTGCTAGATAAGTGTATTTTCTACACATATTCAAGGTCTTAAATAATGACATTTTATAGTTCTTTTAATGAATTATTACCTAATTTGTTATATATTGTGTTTAATAGGTAAAATCATGATCTGGTGAAGAATTGGAGAAAACAAGCTTAAAATATAGAAGAATGACGAAATTTAAAGTTCAGGGACTAAAATGCAAATAATTAAAAGATGATTGCACTTAAGAACGAAGATTCAAGAGTTCTAAGAGACAATTGGATGACAATAGAAGGCAACAAGATGAAAGGAAATGAAGAAGAACTAAAAAGTACGTATGGAAAAGTTCGGGGAAATATTTGCATAACTGGTACCAAAAGCTAAAGCCATGCATACGCATGGGCCTGCAAACCTTCCGTATGCACGACAATCAATGTGTCAAATTGAGGCTAAAATCATCCTACCATGTATATGCACCAAATATACATGCATATGCACGGCTTTCCTGCTCGGAAATATTTTATTTCCTTTTTCTTGCTTTGACTCTTTATGGTATGATATTTTACACCTTTTTAACCTACAAAGAGCCGTCCAAAACGTACTTGGAAGCTATTATCACTTATTCTATTATTGAAGTGACGTCGAACAAGAGCTTTACAAAGAATTAACACACGGAATTGAATATTGAAGGCTCAAATCAAAGGAAAAGTGTAAGAATTTGATTTCTCAAGCTTCTACATTTATTCTTTGAATTAGGTGATGTTTTTTATTAACTTCTTGTGTAATTTAGATACAATTATGTTAGGCTAAATTCCTCGTGTATTGGATGGATAATTAAATCTCAAGTTATATTTCTAATTCAAGACTTATCGTATTTTAATTATTTCTTCTGTTTGTGATTAAATATGCATGAATATTGTATTATTTAATTGCTTTACTATCAATTAGATAATTTGTTGTTTATTCGTAGTGTTGGGAGATTCACAATAAGTAAAATATTGCATATTCGACATGTGGGCATTAGATATTAGGAATAATATTTAGGGTGTGAGCAATCGTGTGATTGAATGCGTGCTTTGCATATGAATTCGAACTTGGAATATGATCAGGTTGTGTTTTAGCATAGGTTTAATATATCTTGATAAAGAATATTGAATATCAATAGATTATCGATTTTCACGAACATTTGAATAACGCTAAGTTACATAAGTCGAGAATTGAAAATAGGAATCAATAGGTGGATTCTGAAATACAATACATTCATCTTGTATTTTATTAAAATTCACTCTCTTATAACTTTCATAGTTTAGTTAGAATTAAAACAAAAATATCAACTCTTTTGTGTTGCAATCACCAAATTTGGTAGAAACTGATAAACTATAATTACACTTACTCATCACGAGACGATAACTCAACTCACTAAATTATTACTGGTTAACGATCGCGTACGTTTGTGAGTTTTGTCTGAACATGGCCGAACTCAATGGCACGACATGCCTCAGTTGTTGCCTTCTTGTGACCTGACGTGGCTATGCTCCTTCCTACGTGTGTATAAATGATGTCTTCGTGTGTCATGATGTGCATGCATTGTCATCTTCGTGTGACTCAAACGTGTTTGTTCTTTTCTTCGTGTGTATAAATGTTGTCTCCGTGTGCCATGATGTGCATGCATTGCTGCCTTCATGTGCCAGACTTGATACCATGACTTTCTTGACTTGGTGAAATGACGTACTTGCCTTGCTGCTATGCCTATAAGTGTCTGAAAAAGCTCAAGATGTGCCTCCACCCTAACATGATGTGCACAAGGTGGTGCCATGATGTGCTTGAGAAAACCTCAAGACGTACTTAAGTTTCTAACATAAAATGCACACGATGTTGCCTTCGTATTCTTGAAAGTACCTGAAAAAACATCGACGTCCCTCATAATGGGAGCACAATATATAATTAATCAAAGTATTACAACTTCGAACAAAATCATTGGCTAGAGCCAATTCTGGCCCAACTTGAAAGTTGACACTGAATGCATTATTTATATATACACTAGCAATATCCAACTAAATTGTAATCAATAAACTGGGTTTCCCTTTGAAGTTAAAAGAGAGCCAAGATTCACAGCGCGTTCTGTTTGTACATCCCACTTTACAAGTTCGGATCCCAAAAAACAAGATCTCAGAGCTTGCAACAATAAGGTCTAAACATTTACATGCCTTGCATTTAGTATTTTCATTTGTTTTCCGCCCTTCAACCAACATAATTTACAGTACAAGATAATATGATATACATCTGAACACAGAGGGAAAGACGGTTTCTGACCACCTAAAAAGACTATCTGAATAATCTTCTGGAAAAGATCAGTTTCCTCGGAGTTCTGTACATGAGGGAAGGCATTTGGCTCCAGCCGCCTAACATACTAACTGAACAATCTTCCTGAGAGATGAGATGCCTTGAGTTTTGTGTGGCCTTTATCGAGTAGTGGATGGAAATGGAATGGGAAGGGGAAGGGGCAATAGCATCGCTTCATGAGACAATGGTGGTGTTACTGCAGTTAAAATCTCTTCCCCCTCTCTTTCAGAAACAAATACTGGTGGCTCTTCTTTAGGTAATGGATCATAGACGAAGGATAGATCCTTATTAGCTGAGAGAGCAAGTAGCTCCTTCTCCTCCAGCCCTTTGGTGGGACCCAAGCTGCAACGATCCGTGCTGTGCTTTGCCAGAGCATCTTTAAATTTCTTGATCTGTGAGCATGGTTTCAGAATAAGATTGTGCAAAGAAAAAGAAATAATATGTGAAAACAAGGACATATATTCGAGGCGGAGCATTATTAAGAATTTTTCATCATTGCAGGTAATTGAAAAAAAAGTAAGAAACAGGGGGGTACGAGACTAACGGTGGCATTGGTACAACTAAAACTGCACAGACGACCATGAGCACCTCTGTAAAAGCGAAAGAAGGGAAGGACATGGACATTAAGAGCATAGCACATTGATTTGTGCTCCTCATAATTAACCTGCAGGAACTGCACGTGCGGATTCATCTCTGCCAGTTGACATATCTGAGTTCCCAAAAACACAACCCTGATTGATTAGTAATAAACACACCTCTAGGAAATATGATGATCAAGTGATTTTTTTTTTAATCAAAATATCAGTGCAAACTCAACAAGCACAAGCCTAAAATGCTTGGTTGTACCTTGGGATGAAGAGCTTTGCAACCTCCACAACCAGGGGAAAAGAAATCAACTACTACAAGTTTATCCCCCGCATGCAAAAGAGAATCCACCAGGTCTTGGGCACCAGTCACCTCTTTCATATTAGGTAGAAGCCCTTTCTCCCACCACTTCTGAGCTTTCCCAATTCCAATGCCCAACTGTATACACACAATTCAAAGGTTAGAACTATACTCAAGATTTATGCAGCAAAAATAACAGACCAGAATGCTACAACCTAAGAGCCAAATCAGTCATGGAACTTGAAAAGTGAAATCAAACCATCGGAAACATATTCACAAATTAATTAACCAGGGAAACAGGGAGACTTCTTTTTTGCAAAAGTATGAAGACTTCTGTTAGGACAGTTGTAGGGATAGAACTTAAACAAATAAAGCAGCAACACAACCATCCACATGTTTATTCGTATAAAATGCAGTCATTTAATTTGTCAAGTTAAATTTTAATTGACCTGGAGAGAGAGAGAGAGAGAGAGACAGAGAGGGGGGGGGGGGGGGGGGGGGGG